AGGCGCCGAGCCAAGACATGTTTTCATGGAAGGATGTTAATTGTTGGTTTTTGGATTTTTAAAGAACAACTAGTATTGTTGTTAGTAAACAGATCTTCTGGTTTTCAAAGCATTGCAATGTTATATATTCTTTTTGAAAGTGCAATCAAAATATCTGTTTTTAAAAAAACTAGTCAGAGAAACCAAGGTTCAATCCAAATATCCTATAAATTTTGGTTCATGGACTATCTTAACTATAATTCTTCAGGAAAAGTTTTGTGAAATGCATCTTTTTGGATTTTAAGACCCATAGTCTTTCAGCTGAGTCCTCCTATATTCCTAGGATAGTTATTTTTCTTTTCTTTTTTCAATTGTCTTTATTTATGTTTTGTTATATTTATTTTCTCATGGGACAAATGCCTTCCGTGGGTAATTGGATTAGTAGAGTGCAGATCTAGTAGGTTTTCAAAGAAAACATTAGGTTCAATCAAACCAGGTTTGTTTAAAAATTGATCCTAATATTCCTTTGTCCTATGACTAGTATCCCTTTCATAACATATCACTAGATGTTGTGGTTGGATCATGTCCTCCTAAAATTCATATGTTGAAGTCCTAACCCCAGCACCTCAGAATGTGGCTGTGCTTGGAGTTAGGTTGCTGCAGATGTAATCAGTTAAGATGAGGTTGTCTGGGGGGGGGGTCATATTGGAGTAGGATGGGTCCTTGATACAAGATGACTGGTGTTTTAATAAAAAGAGAGAGAGTTGGGCACAGAGACACACAGAAATGTGAAGGTGAAGGCAGAGATCAGGGTGAAATAGCAGCCAAGGTACTCCAAAGATGGCCAGCAACCACCAGAAGGAGGACAGAGGGAACAGATTCTCCCTCATCTCCCTCATCAGAATCAATCCTGATGGTCTAAGGACTTCTAATCCCCAGAACTATGAGATAATAAATCTCAGTTGTTTATGCTACTCTGTGGTTTCAGCAGCCCTAGCAAATTTATATGATGGACAAACCCTTTGGGATGTTGGGAAGATTATGGAAAACTATAATTGAATGTGTCCTCTCTGGAAGTTGTCACTTTGAGCTGTAATTAGCCCTTCCAAAAAATGTAGGTATTCTATTAATATAGTGAGATCTTTTCTTTAAAACAAAAAACAAGTGTATGTTTATTTTCTATATATAACTAATATTTTATGACTAATATTTTATGTCTTACATCCTAAGAAGACTCCATGCTAATACAGAATGTCATTATATCTATTTTATAATCTATTATAAAATTGCACAATTCTATGTTTCTTGACGACATCTTGATTACAAATCCCTCTCTCATTCCTGCGTCTTCTTCCATAAGACCACTGGGCCAGGAGTAGCAGGACATGTATTTGGGTCTTAGCTCCATCCCTACCTGTCTGTGTGATGCTGGGAAAGTCATCTCTTGACGATTTATTTATCTGGAAAATTGGAGAATTAAATTTCACAACATGAAGATACTTAAGAGTCATTTGAGGGGGTTGAATTTATTTTCTTCATATATGTGTGTATATATATGTATATACATATATGTGTATATTTATATGCATGTATGTACACACATATATATAATTTTTCTTCATGCCTATAAGAGTTAGAAGTGGTGAGATTTTCATATATCTATTTTATAAGATAAACACACTAGAACCCTATTGGGTAGGTCAGTACAAGTAGAAGAGGTAATAAAGTTAAAAACATACAAATCTTCAGAAATAAGCCAACATTATAAAATAGCCCTAAACTTATTTTCAAAGAATGTTGAATCATTCTAATCTTTCAAAGAATTCCTTAAATGCAGATAAATTCCATAAGATATAAATTAGTTGTCACAAGGCATGACCATAAGCCCCCACACCGTGCTTACAATATTAATTTGAACATTATTTTCCTTGAATCTTAATAAGTTCACATGCTATATAAAATAAAATAGAATACAATAAGATAAAATAAATGATTAGCTACACCACTGTAATTTGGTAAAAGCAAGAATAATGAACTCTGATTCATCAGAATGGTAAGGGACTTAAGGTTCTCTTTAACTGAATATCTCAGCTGATTAAAAGTTACTCTATCATATAAGATTATTAATTTTCAAAGAAAAAATCAGTAAAATACAAGGAAGTTCTTTGGAACATAATGTAATCTTTTTTCTCTGTGGGACTGTCAAAAAAATTTACAGTGCCATTTGGGTTAAGTGATAAGCCTTGGTTATCAATGTGTACTTTGGGGCATCATTTTGGATGCCTGAGGTTTTTATGTGTTTAACTTCTTCTGAATCATTGAAATAAGGGCATTTTTCTAACATAGTGACTTGTACAGTAAAGCAAAAATACTTGCTGATATTAAACACTTAGGTTTAAAATCAAGACTTCATTTACCACTTAATAGACGAAGCAAGGAAAGGCTGAAAGGGAAGGGTCTACATAATCTGAATATGCATAAATCATTTAATTAGGCGCTATTTAAAAGCTTCCATGAAACATAAGTTATAAGGAGGATGCAAATTAATGATTATCTAAAGATTCAGGATAACAGGATAGATACATTCGGATAGAAGAACCAGAAGTTTGAGTTTACTATTGAAAGAGTAGAACTGAACAATGAGGTCTGGGAGTTTAAAATTTCAAACCTGAAACGGCGTGATAATGATGTCCAGGGCTATGGCTTCGGATTGCTGAATTGTATTACAAGGAAGAGCATTGGCACTAGTGATGTCAAGAAAACAGAGAGACCAAGCTGTTGGATGCAGGTCTCTGTGGACAGCGAAGTTCCTTCCCTAGGTGTTAAGACTTGAAAAGAAGAGGGCTAGAGGGGAAACAGGCGCAAATGCCTTCACAAATTAGGTTTAGAGAATGACAGAAAGGGATAGTAGGAGGAGTGCTAGAGAGTAATATGCCTAAATGACATAAACGTTGAAGGACAGATGGTATTTGGGAGCAGAAAGTCAGTATCTTGAAGCAGCAAATAAAACCAGAAGAGTGCCAGCCCCACCTCAGAGCCTTGGAAGATGCTAGGGTACGTGAGGTGGGGAAAGACGGGTTCTAGAATTCTGCAGTGAAGATCTAGATCTCAGAAAGGAATACTCATAAATGGATCCAGATGTTGCATGTGGAATTTAACATGATCAGTATTTCCATAAACTTTTAATATTTGTGTAACATCATATTTTATGAATGTTCACAACTTTTCTTTTGTCATTTACTCTATTGTTCATTATTTAGGTTGCTTTGAATTTTTCCTATTATTGATAATAAAGTACTTGCCATAGTTATGTCTAAAATTTTTTTTTGCATTTATGATTGGTTTCTTGAGTTAGTCTCAGCATGTGAACACTTTTCCTGGTTTTTTATGCTCATCATTCCATATTCATTGTTCCATGTTCATCTTGGATTTTCCCTGCCCCAACCTGAGAACAAACCATTTCTCTAAGAATCTCTGCTTCCTTTTAGTGATGAATAGCATTTAGATGCCAAGATCTGGGCTCAAGTTGCACCGATTGAATTGGCCTGTCACGGTCTAGATATAAGGAACATATTATATGCATGGGTTTATATGTGTATGTAATATATGTGTGCATGTGCATAAACACAGTTACATCTGTCTTTTTATATCAGCCTATACATATCGAAAACCATGAGTTCTCATAATTAGTTTCAATTTCAAGCTAACAACTGTTTGTATGTTTGTAACTCTCTTTGGCAGTGAGAAACCTGGTTTCTAATATACTTAATGGGCTGTATTTCCTTATTTGATTAATCCCCCTGTGTACAGTCAGTCTTCCATTGCTCCTGACATCCCCCTTCCCTGCATAAATACTCTTCTCTCCCCTTTTGGGCTCTGAAACCCCGTATTAGGTAGCCCTTCAAACCTGCCTTCCTAGAACTTTCTGTCCTAGTTCTCTCATGGTTTCATACTATTTTAACATTTAAATCTATGGTCTAAAAAATCATATATTGGAAAATATTCTGTAATGGATCGGATTGTAAATATTTAGGTGCTTTTATGAAATCTTGCACTAGAAGTGCTATTTAGTGCAATAAAGCAAGGAGATGAAATAGGATTGGAGAGGAAGAAATAAAACTGTGGTTATCACAGAGGAAATGATAGTTTACTGAGAAAATTCAAGAGAGTCTACCAAATATATGAATCAATAAGAAAATTTAGCCCAGGCTTTAAGCAACTTGTAGGTTCCGCTCCGGTGTTTGAATACCAACTCTTGTTTGCTGAGCTGCCATGTTAGAGGAGCCTTGTTAGAGATATGCCTAATGGACATAGAGATATGGACTACATGAAGAAGGAGCAGGGTCCAGCTGTGCCTAAGGGCCGTTCTTGCCAAAGCACCAGGTGTGTGAATGACGTGACCTTGGAAGACTCCTGTGGACAAGCTCAGCCATTAGCTGAGCCCCACCAAGTGACCTCAACCATG